CTCCCGTACAATAGAACAAGGATCGACGACTTTTGATTTAAGTTAGAAAACGCAAGCATTGAACGCATATCGACTTCTTTCAATGCTTCTATCGGCTCCTGCAGAAATATCTAGAAATGTGAGTACCTCTTTAATTTGAACATCCATATTTAGCCTTTATATAGCTGATAAGTATAATTAGTGGATACATAGACAATGCAGACAATGCACAGCGTTCAGCCGGCGTGAATTCGCTGCGTCACTCCACGAACAGATTGAACAGATTCTAATGTCGAAGAAATTCAACTGTATCAAGAGAACGTTTCGTTATTTTCGTTTAGATAAAGAAATATTTCATTGAATGAAGAATCAATGTTTCATTTTCGGCGGGTACATTTCGGCTCATTACAGAATATTTTAGATTAGATAACTTCACCCTTTATTGAAAGAAGTGTATTAACCATAGAAATATTTTTTATCTTGTAGGGTTCCCACACAAACTAAAACATGACATCAGAGCTTTAATAGGGACCGATAATTACGCATAAGAACAACAGGAAAAAGCGAAGATAATCGATTGCACAGTTTAGCGCTTTATGTCATGCACCTAATTTTGTCACGATGTCAGAGCAGCAACCAAAAGCTCGTGCTTATTAAACTTTACAAATGAAGAAATAAAAATCCCTAAAAAAACACCTACCCAGGGATTGCATTACACGTATTACAGGGATGTTCACAAACACCACCATTTTATTTGGCGGTTGTGTTTGCCTTTTTTTTTAAGGTGTCCTCTGAAGTTACAACACGATACTGTCGTCAGCAACCGTCATTTTATGAACAATACGTACACAGAAAACGATCACTCATTCGCACATTCATACTGCTAACACGGGGGCAGGGCCTTGCATTCCAGGCAAAATGAACACGCGCAATCTGAAGAAGCCCTACACGAACGCTCCAACTCGAATGGCTCCAAGTCACTCACAACAGTACAGGTGGAGGACCGACACCACTTTTGATCTTTTATATGTGGACTGGGACACCGCGCGAGCGGGCAAGCACCTAGAAATACACAATTCTTCGCTACAGTGAACATCGTAAGGACAAGGTTATCCACGAACAGAGGATAATAGAGCAGACAATTCCCCCAAAGGCTGGCTAGCTTCGATCAATATCACTGCAAGAATAACAAACAGTGCTTTTTTCTGGTAATAAGCTTTCAACAAATTTTTTTTTTTAATGACAGGAGCCTTCTTTAATTTGTGGAAACACGAAGGAGCCTTAGAGACTGTCGCGAGGATTGACAGCACTCGGTGGAGTTTTACGAAGGTGCGTTTTCCTGCGGACAAATTCAACAGTTGCGGTTCTTTCTCTAATTCAGAAAGAGATAGGAATAATATTTCATGTATAATAGTGCATGTTTACCTTGAGCTGGGGATCTCCGAGGCCGTATTCAATATGAAGAATTCCTTAAAACCAAGAGATAACACCCGAAAGGATAAATTATTACTCGGATACTGCTAACACCTGCCGATAACTTCCTGCGATTGACAACAATAAAGCGTAGTCGTGAGCTTTCAATTGTAGGAAGAAGTGTGGTGCTAGAGTACGAGAAGAATTCAATTATCTTCATTTACATGATATTAAACTTTCCAGAAAGGTGTTGCTTGCAGCAATACGCCGCAGAGGAACCGCGCGTAGTAACAGACAAACTCTTTACACACCCGCCCTTCTCCGTAACGCCTCTGAGATGTATTATGTACAAAGTGAGTGATTTCCTTGCTCCAACTCAGCGAGCCGAAAAGCTCTCATCTGCCGAGATGACAAATTCAACAAGGAAGGCGAAGTACCTTGAGCGTCTGTCCTTCAGTTATATCTATTGAAAAGGAATCAACGCTCAAAACTGGAGCTCACCATTGCACATACTTGACATGCTAAAGGTGCATCGACATTCCTTCTGCCGGTCACCATCAACACACCAACTGCGCGCTGAAATATGCGTCTGAATCAAACAATCCCACTACGAACAACAAACAACAAAAAGAAAAAAAACACCAGCATGGACGTGCGGGAACAAGTTGAAGACGCTAAATAGAGCCTGAAACAACTTTTGCCTGTAGAGCAGCTTGCAAACGGCTGAACGATAACACATAAGCTGCATGAGGTGTTCAACCTGTTCATTTTGATTCTTGGTGCGGGGCGTATAACATAGATGGACCTGCACAAAAAGTCGGCCCGGGAAAGCGAGCTAACGAGACTACACATCGCGCTCACGCATCAACAAACGGGGGAGGGTTGTCACGTGCCATAGAACTTCCATCACAAAACACGACATCGACGATTATCACCGAGGGTTATACAGCTCCGAGCAGCGGCACGAGCGTGTGCGTATATAGACCGGCTTTCGCAACAAGCAACGAACTCGCCGCCGCCCCACGTGGTTTCCGCCTCGGAGGGCGGTCTGCCCAACGGCGAAGCCGGCTCAGTCGAACAGGTCACATTGAGTACGCAAATGGCCCGCCAGTGAGGCATCATTCTTGTGTAAAACACACTACACGATGGAGACAGAGAGTGAGAGAGACGCGTTCTCTCTCTCTCGCTAAAAGGACGGCATCTACTCCTACGACCCGCGCGGAGGTGCGACGACACACAGATACATTCGGGAAAGGTGAACGCTTTTTCAACTTGGCTTTTTGAGGTTAAGCTGGATAAATGAAGTAGAAGTGATGAGGTTCGCGGTCGTTCCCGTTGACGCTTTGAACAAATAAAATTTAAAAAAAAGAATCGTGGGGAATCTAAGCGACAGACAAAGCGGTGCCGCCTCTCCTGCTAGGCTTTCGCGCTGGACTTTTGACATTGTAAGGCCCAGTTACCAACCAGAAAGATTTCTTTCTCTGCATTACTTTTTTTTTCTCTTTCATGTGGTCATCTTAGATGGTGGTGACAAAGAGTGCATTTCTGAAAACCGGCACCTTCTTGAGTCGCTGGCTAAAATTCGCCACATCAGCGTTCCAAAGCGGCCACCATACTCCCTGTCGGTCCCTACGTGGGAGACGCCCGCTACGCACCAAGCGCGTCCTGCAGGACTGAAATAAAGTTCCATTCCATTCCATTTCATTCTGAGACCATCAGATAGGGAGTGACCGCGCTCTGAGCCTATCAGAGACGAGAAGTCGGCGAATCATGCAAGAAAGTGGAGCTTGACATAGTTCGGAATAAGACGCAAGTGGTAGAAGACAAACGTAGTTGTAACAGACAATCCACGAGAAACTAAGATTACGACCAATGTACAGAAGAGAGCGCGACCTTTCTCGTTACGTGCGTGACTCACGAGATAAGTCGCGTTCAACGTGGTCGTTCTACCGCATTCACCTCCGCTTCCCTTCTCTCGAGCATTGTTTTATTCATACATGCCATCGAAAAATTCCAAGAGGAGTAACGGCGCACACAAACAAAACGAGAACAGTTTTGTTGGAGAAGTGACGACAACTGATAACACGTACTTTTCTTTTTACGAGGTGGACACCTGCTCAGAACGGGAACGAGCAACAAGCGGGGCTCACAACCGACGCACAACAAGTATACATACTCGATGTTGTATCGCGCATAACATATAACGTCCTTTTTTTTTTCAACTTACGAAGCCGTCTTTTCTGCAAGATCGCCTTCTATTTTTTATTTACCCGTGATGGGTTCCGAACAGTGGCGTGAAAGCATCAACTACTACATTACTTTACAACAACGACGAAGAAGGGTTAACCAGATGAAAGATACTTGGGATGTCTGCGGTATGGTAATACATGCGTGGGACGTGTAACAAGTTCGGGTAAATCAAGACAGAAAGATAGACATGAACGTGAACGTTTTGGTAACAAGTTCACCACGAAGAAGCGCCTAGCCGATCACATCTGAGATGAAATTTAAGCTGGCGCAGCCCACGACGCACAGTTCAGGGACTTCCGGCCATGCAGCGCGTGGCATTCTTGGGTAGCATCTAGTGACGACTGCAACCGGCAAGTCCATTAGTGGAGTATGGCTTTCTGAGTCAAAGTTTGCGTGGATACATTCATGAGGCCCCGGATGTCTCTGTACACTATAGTTTGAGATCTATTGTCGATCCTGGTCAATCTTATATTTTAGGACATTAATCATTTCTCCATTTGGTTCTTCACGGCTACGTACTGCTAGCGAGTTCAACTTGCTCTGAGAGTCATCGATGTAAGTACGGAAGTATAGAGTCCGCGAATGCCATACTGAACTTGCAAACTGTTACCTATTTTTCCACGCGTGCACCGATCTGCATATTAAAGTTATGAAGGCTTTGTTAAGGGGAAATTCCAGTGGAACCGTGAACAAGCTAAAGATGTCGCCCTAGGGCAGCCGAATGACAAAACTCCGGTGCTTACCGCATGTTGAAAGCAGATACCCTGCCTGATAACGCGTTTTATAATGTCTTCGTACCTGGAAAGCACAAGCGCAAAACACTACAGTGCGAGGTATTATTGAACGTTTGTCGAGCGAACTGCCAGTCTCATTAACCTTGATGGCAGCTGCGCACACCAACTTCTCTAACACAGCTGTTGGAGAACACTGAACTTTCAATTTACTGATTTCGTGCCTTGCTTATGGTCAATTAGTTTTCAATAGCTGTGCGTTTTCTTCGTTATCCGTGGTACTTCGTATTTTGTGACGTCCTATGCGTATAGCCAATGTTTCACACGTCGAAGCGAAAATTCCATGGGTTACGTTATCAGCCATCCGCGCTTACTAACATCCGCCGGCTCTGTCTCTATTTTAAAATACGAACAAGCTTTGTCCCTCGCATGATGTGGAGTTCGACGTCATGGGAAGTATTTCCGCTCTATTTTAAATACAGTCTTTCGAACGTGTCATCACGTTTAAAACGTGAACGCGGAATGACATCGCAATTCGGCCGAAAATTCGAAACGATTTCATCTCATCCTGACCATTGTTAGCGAGTGGGTGTGTCACGGTCTATTTCGATTTCCTTTTTACTTCGACTTTTTTTCGTGTTTCGTTACGGGGGACAATGGTCTGCTCGCTTGTAGCGTGTAACGCGATCACCGTTGTCAGGCGGTCGGTTATTTAGGCTTAGACTCGTCAGTGTTGTAGTTCGTTTCTTGTTGCATTTTCCCCCTTTTTTGTCTTTGATTTGGATGAAAATATTCTCCACAATTGTGAACCAGATGCGATTTCAAAAAAAAAAAGAAAGAGAGTAAGGAAAAAGAAATGTAAGCGGAGTATACGACACGTGCGCGCCCTGTCCTCCCTTGCACTCTCGACAGTGGTGCCCGGCCGATGAGCGAGCGTTGGCAATAGAGCCCCTCGAAGTCGGCCAGACGCCACGCGGACGCCGAGGACCGGCAGTGCACACAGCGAACGAAAGCGGATAGAGAAAGAGATAAAGAAAGAAAAATCAAAGAGATAGAAAGGCGATTCTAGTGAGCCCAGCCAGCGTCGCCGAGGTGCACGAGCGTCGCTGCGCGCAGCCCTTTGTGATGCAGCTGCCGTGGACGGAGAATGTTACGGTCATTACCCTGACGACACGTGGCGTGGTGTCGATGTATGTGTGTATACATATATGTTTCGACATTGCGGGCGGCTATATTCGCTCGGAACCTATTGTGACTGGCTTTCTCAATCGAACGACCAATCATCGGCGAGCGAATAAACACGCTAAGTTCGTGGGCGATACTGATTGATGGCTAAGTTGTTGCAGACAGCGCTTTGTATACTACGCCTGGTCTCCAGGACCCATAATGCTGCCATTGTGTTGTTTTCTTCATTTAATTCGGCACTCTTTTTTTTTGCATATTGAAAGGACAGTCGAGTGCGCTCGTCACAGCGGGCTTCTTTCTCAGTGAGTCGTGGCTAGAAAAAAAAACGAAAAAAAAAAAACGACCGACACACCTGTTACGCCCACAGGCCAGAGCGACTTCACAAAACGAACTAAACTGTGAGACTGTACTACTCGAGACGAAAGGAGAGACGCGCCGTGCTCGCGCCTCCGCGGCCTTGGCTGGGCTCCCCAGCGGGGCCCGAAAGCCTTCGGAACCGCCACACGGATGGGGGAGGTGGTGCTGGCCGAATTTTGTTAACCGTTTTTGTTGCTGTTTTTAGCTTCATATACTGCGACGTTTCGCGGCTAGTTGGTGATCCGGGGGGCCATGTTTGCTGCTGCCGCTTCTCCCACACTTCTCTCAGAAGAGCGGGAGGAGGAGGACGAGCGGCGACCTATTTCCTCTCTCGGAAGCGGAGAACCATGCGCGCACGCGCGCACGAACACCGCCGACGGCAGCGCCGCGCAGCGGGCGGGGCGTGCACTAGTCGTCGCCGACATCGTCCGGCAGAACGTCGCTGATGTGCAGGTAAATGATCCAGTACATGAGGTTGAAACAGACGAAGCAAACGGGGAACACCACTCGGGAGTACTTGTCGATATCGGAAGGGCTGACGCCAAATAATTTGTTGGGGTTCTTGCAAAACGCTGCCTCGATGTCCGGCGCGCCGTTGACGGTGTTCTCCAGAGTCGAGGATTTGCTGAATCCTTTGGGGTCAACCATTTTGAGACGTACTTCCTGCGGGGGCGGGGACCGAATTCGGAGGCAACGGGTGAGGGGATGTTCGAAAGCAAGAAACAAACCGGGCACCGGGGTCGGAAGGCAGTGAAAGGTGGTAAGGATTAATAACGAATGTAAACCGAAATAAAGAATGTCGCGCATGCAATAAAATTACAAAAATAAAACAAATAATTTGTGGGGAGGGTTGAGGGAAAGAGAGAAGAGCAAGAGTAAGAGTATTAGCGAGCTGCAAAAGCATTAGAAGTACTTTAGCATTAGAACACTTTATTAGAACACTTTATTCTAATAATTTATTCTTTATTCACTTTATTCGTCAGACTTCAATACTTTAAACACTTTATTCGTCAGGCTTCAAGTATCCTCTTAGGCACAACTTTAACTAACGCTAAAAAATCATGCCCAGAAACCAATATTTTTTGCACCATGCAGTAAGAAAGGTTTGGTATCGCACAGTTATTTTGTTACAAATAAATGAACAAGAAAAGATTTTTTCAGACTTCCCCATGTAAAATAGAATTTAGGCCAAATTAAGTTTTTATGCCCACTTTGTGAAGCGCCAGTTAAGTAAACGTTTTTTATAGCTTTCTGTTACTTTGTTTTCAGGTCTCTATATTTAAAAGTTTATTGGTGTCCCTAGAAATCATCGCGACAACAACACTTCTAGGTACAGAAAACTTGAAAAAGCACACGCTGATGCAATAGCACCTTGTCACACAGCTTCAAACACTAGGCAGCACATGCGACAGCAGTGGCATGTTCGAGAAAGCGTGAGTAAAGGCTGCTTGTGCTGCGGTGCGTACCCAAATAAGCCAAGCGATACGTTGTCCAGCTGCGTAAGTGGTTGCTAGATATGTAGTGACCACCACTGTTCCAACACAGTCAGTATTTAAGTAAGCATTAAACGTTGGATTTGTTCATTAAAGAACACTAATGTCAAGTAGTAAACTAGTTTATGCAGATTATTTCACTCTAAAAACCGTAGTGCGCCAATGTCAGTATTGTAGGCGTTCCAAAACACGAGAAAATCAACGTGAAAAGTTTTAATTTCTCGCCGAAATGTGCGATGGTGACATGATGGACCTCAAAGTTTCTTTTTGCCTTTTTTTACATTCACCCAACAAAATTTTTTGGAACTTTATAAGTCAAGAGTGACAGGTAAAGTCTTTCGCTTCTTCAGAAAACAATGCACTTTGTTTTTATGAATGAGAAACAACGTTGGCTCTAGTAGACGACGTCACTGATTGTGACGTCATCTGGTAGAGCCAACGTTGTTTCTGGTGAGTCGCGCCAACGTTGTAGCGAGTCGCGCGAGCTTCACGGTGGTGTCACCACACTCATTTTTTTTTTTCAGGCGCGCTTTCTCGCTTACCAAGCGGCTCTTCGCCGCAAGCGTGGTGTTCCTGGTGTTGTGAAAGAGTGGTTCACTGAGAAGAAAAAAATATTTTTCTCTATAGCGCCTCTGTAGGAAACAATTTCAGCCAATCTTGACTCTGCACATGTAGTTAGCGAGGGGAGCTGGCCAACGGCAACGAAGCGTTTTGTGAACTTAGTGCATGATTCTGGCGCGAATGTACGAATTGATCAAGCCGAGGACATAACTACTTTACTTCAGATAGCTTTGGCCGTCAGGTTACACCATCCACGGTGTGGGCTGAATTAGAACACTATAACATTAAGGAAATTAAGCAGATTTCGTCACATTCATATAATGCATCTTGTAGTACAAAGGTACGCAGTGCATTGTATTTATTGGGACAACTACGTCGTTGAAGCGGACACAAAGCTTCACTGAACTCAGCTGCTGTGAAATGAATAAAGTACAACAGCACTGTAGTGTCACCGTATAGGTCAAAAGCTATAGCGTGCGCTGTGCACTTTGCAAATTTCAGGTCCCGACGATACCTAAATGCGAAATTAGCAAGCCACGAACGTGACAATAAGCATTTTGTTCTTCTCGCCGATCATATTTCCTTCCACTCTATAGACTACTGTTTACTACTCTATAGATTATTGTACGGATGAAATTAGGTATCGTCATTATGGGTATCACCTTTTGATATAATTAAATACTTGAAAACAGTGATACAGTTGACCCTTATGCATGAAAACAGCTGGATTGGTGCACTGAAAGATTCACACGCCTATCAAAAATTTCAGTTCATTTTGGTATTTCTTTTTTGTTACCAAGAAATATGTGGAATAAAGCCACACGAGATCGAGTGGCAGTTGTGACAAGAACTATGGAACCGCACAAGCTCAAGCAACGGTTGTGACAAGAACATAGTTTTTGGGTGAGTACTGTTCCAAAGAGAAAACGGCAGACGATAGTGGCATTGGGCGTGTTATTATAGAAAGCACCTGGAAGCTGGTGAAAAACTCTCGCCAACATAAAAACCCCGAAAGTTTTCGTCAACAGTAGGACACCCTTTAGAAGGTTCTGGCGCTGTTTGTGTAAGCCCGCAGCATTGACATTCTGATTGTTCGTAATTATCAGTCCACGATATTTGACTACGCAAGCATCGAAATCACTTTTGGAAACTTGTTTGTCGTATATCGCGAAGCTTGCGTTGCGAGGCGCGGTACCCATTGCATGGAAATCATAAGACTCGGCGCTTGCTTGTTTGGTGGCCGTTTTTCGGTTCCACTCCGCGGGGCCGGTTAGTGGAGTAGGTAATAAAACTCCCGAGTTTCCCAACATGGCAACGGGAACGAGAATCCAAACAAATCTACAAGGTGCTCGGTCACATACAAAATATTTCGACATGATCGCTAAATAAACATAAATGTTGGCTGCAAAGAGCAGCCTTGGAACTTTCTTCGCATTTCTAAGATGCAATATGTTGTTCAAGTGGGCTGCACAGGGGGCTGGGATATGTTTTTCCCTTTGCCTTCTTTCTTCAAAAACTTCTTTCAAGGCTTCAGATTGCAATGCCAGACTTATATTTTTTTGGCCGAATCGCAAGCGCGTTTCACCTGTCTCTATGAGATGCAACACGAGCTTTCTTGAAACAAGAATCCACCTCGTAATCATGAATGCGCATTCGTTTCTTCGCACATCGGGCTTGTTTTCTCGAATCGGTGTCGGTTCCGTTTTCCAGCATGCTCGGCGTCACACCACCAAAAAAAAAGCAAATGCATTCTCTTGTTTTCTCCGCAATCTCTCACCCCTCTTCCCAGGAGCCCCACTCTCTCTTATCACATTTATTTGTTTTGCGTTCAAAGAAGGCATGGAACGAGGCACACTGGCAGTACCAGCTGCTTTCGAATTCATGAGCTTCACAATTTAGAGAGTCAACGCGATGCAGTCAGACGCGGCGTGTGTGCTTTGCAGCTGTGTAACGAGAGACAGTAAAAAAACAAGGTGACAAGAAGGGCAAAAATGGCTTTAGCTGGGAAAGCGTGTACGTTGCGAAACAAAAATGAGACGGGACTTGGGCATTTCCATCTCGTCGTGTTGAAACGGTATTCGCGATTCGCTCCACCGGTTCTACGTGCTGTAGAATGTTCTGGCGAGTGTTCTAGTTCTCTTCAGAGAGTTGTCGCATTTCATCCCAATGAAGCTGATGGGGCATAAAAAAAAAAAAGGAAAAGTGACCCTTTCATGTCAGCACACCTCTGCTCCGCTGATCATAGTAAGTCTCAGTTTTACAAAGGAGCTCTCACTGACATTGAAGGGGTACTTTTATTTGTTTCCTTTCGACATATATGAATACTGTATTTTGCAAAAAAGCATCCAGGATGTGCTTGTTTTTAAATAATAATGTTGAGTGATCCAGCATCTACGCTGCTGAAAGACGCTAGCGACGCATGTGGGCGTTTGCTGCACCCAAATGCTGCTGATAATTTTGTGTGAGAGTCAAAAACCACTCCTTGGTGTGGCTTGTCTGGAAATGGCTGACAACTTTTTTTCACTGAATAATTTATTTCGTCCCTTTGAAGTATTGTAGAAGAGTGTTTGGAATAACAGCGGGGCCTTAAAATCGTGTGACCAAGCTGCTGTATGTTTCACGAATGACTTAGGTTACAGAGGCATACCACGCTTGTACACCATAACAATCTAAAAACTCACGGCATTCTTTGAAGAATCTACTGTTATTCACATTTTGTACGTCTATTTCATCCCGGTTAGAGGAGTTGAAAGATTTCAGTGTAGGAACCAACTTCTTGTTCCTTTAATCGAGCAGTCGAAGTCTTGTATACTGCAACATCTGCTGCAGGACTACATCTTCTAGATCGTAAAAGCTAGCTATATTGAAGGATTATATGTAGGTAAAAATCTGTTTGGGTAAACTTGCAATCGTTACGCTTCAAAAAAAAAAAACAAGCTTCCTTTCGAATCACGATGTGTTAAGCCTAGAATTGAGTCATAACAACCACGTCAACATCATTTTCCAACATTACTGTTCTAAACTAGACCGCTGAATACGTTCGCGTGATAGGCATTCCTTTACCCAGGGCAGTCACTGAGTTTAATGATTTGCTAACCTCTAGTAGAGAGGCAGAAACAGGAATGAGAGATTAGATAAATGTGCGAGAAATAGTTATATGCAGCGAAAGTTGCGTTTAATATTTTTAGTCGAGTTACTGTTTTTCTTCTTTCTGGCCTGTGTTACGTAATTCAGGCGTGGGTTACTTAGGCCAACACACACGCACGCGCTACCACTTTGACGCACGTGCTCATATGCATCCCCCCGTAAAAGAAGCCCACTAAGCAGTCCCTGCAATTCAGAGCGTTTCCGGCTTCTCTGGGCAGTGAAGTAAGCGATCACAAGTACTTACATAGTCGTATTCCTTATCTATCCCGAGATCTTGATAAGAGCAGAGTAAAGATTACCATTCAATATAATACCAAGATAAGTTTACTTTACTATTAATGGTTCAGCGTCGCGAATGATTCATGGGCCGATTGGTCACGACATCGTTTTACGATGGGACGTGGCGTCCGTCACACTAACTACGATGCTTACGTCAATCGGAAATGGTCCCAGTGGGATGCA